TTGAGACGGAGTTTCGTTCTTGTTGTCCAGGCTAGAGTGCAATGGCGTGATCTCACAGCAACCTCTGCCTCCCAGGTTCAAGTGATTCTCTTGCCCCAGCCTCCCGAGTAGCTGGGATTACAGGCATGCGCCACCACACCCGGCTAATTTTGTATTTTTAGTAGAGATGGGGTTTCTGAATGTTAGTCAGGCTGGTCTCGAACTCACAACCTCAGGTGATCTACCCAGCTCAGCCTCCCAAACTGCTGGGATTACAGGCGTGACCCACCGCGCCTGGCCTCAGCTACAACTTATTTCCAACCAACCTCATCAGGTGTGCAATGTATTTTTACCAACTGAGAGGATCAAAATTGCAAGTATTCCTGAAAAGGGCTTTCAAAAGCCTGCAAGAGTCAAGAACTCTTGTGCTTTCTCTAAAAAGTAATCTGCATTTAAAATTCAAGTGCACTACTATTTTTTACATCCAAATAATGAGTAAAATACCTCTGCTGGTTTCAATTCACTGAAGTAATGTCACTCTAAACTGATGAAATTAGAGTCAAAGCCTCCACTTAGCAAAATACACTAATGCTTATTTAAAACTGGTCCTACTTTACTCACTGTATTAAGTGGACAATTCTACAAAATACTCTCTTCTGTAATCCCATGACTATGTGGCTGGAAGGTGGACATTTAGAATCACAAAGCAGAAATGACTTTAGGCCATCAGACCAACCCCACCGCTTTAAAGATGAGAACCAAGGTCCAAAGGGCATAATTTGTTCAAGATCTCATAGCAAAACCAGACCTAGATTCCAGGTCTCCGCCAGCCCCTCTGTGATCCTTCCATTTCACACAGTCCTGGGGGAGTCTTTCATATATAACATCAGGAACAGGATTCTAGAAGTAGAGGAAATTTGCTGAAGGGAAAGAAGCACTGACTGAAGGTTACTTTGATGGAAGAAGTGGAAAAACAATAGAAATAAGGAGACAAATGAGCATGAGACTGGAAAAAGAGATGAGGTAGAAACGTCAAAAGGCATCCAAATGCGAAGACTATCTACTGAAAATGGCTGTGTATCTGCCCTTAATTCACATCATCTAAAATACAATAAAATATTCAAAAATAGAAAGTGACTTCGTATACTAAAGGAAATTTTTATCAAAAACAAAGAGAAATTACTAGATATAAATACACACATTTACTAGAATAGAAAATGTCTAGTACCTGCTGCCCTGGGAACTACTGTGAATGTACGTGTTGGGCCCGGATCCTTTATTGACTGAGCCAGCGCCTGCGATTGCTCTAAATTTAAGGATCGTACAATTAGACAAACATGTTATCCCGGGACGAGAAAACCTTGTTTTGTGTGGTTAACACGGCGGGTCTACACCAGGCCAATAAGCTGCTCATGAAAACCTCACGGCTTGGCATCCAGAAAACACAAAACTTAGGGAAGAAACGTCAACGGGTGGACAACAGTTCAGATCTGCCGGCAACGAGGGACCGAAGGGCGGCATCGCGCTCCAGTTCCGCCTCCCCAGCCGAGCCCCCAAGCGCTCCACCTCCGTTCCAGGGCTCCGCAACCACGATGGGCAGCTCGGTGTCGTCGTAACGGAGGGGCGGCCTCCGGCCGGGCGGCCAGGGCGCCAGACTCCAGATGCAGCGACGTGCCGCCCGGAGCCGGGCACTCGGCCTCCTCCCCACGTCAGCCTCCGCCCGTGGGCCCAGCCTCCTAGCAGCTCCCGGGGCCCCGCTGCCACTCAGCTCCACCCGGCGCTGATCCCGGCCTTTGACTCACCACCGCCTGACAGAATGCAGAACTGCGAGAGAAAGAGCAGCACGCGACACACGGAGCGGAGGCCCCGAAGCGGGCGCACCCCAGCGGCCATCTTGCCGGCGCGTGCACACGTCCGGGCCGGGGACGGGCCCTGCGAGTCGGGGCGGGGCGCGGGCGCGGGCGCGCGCGTGTGGGGGCGGGGCGAGGCGGGCGCGGCTCGGAGCGGGAGCGGGCAGTGGGCGCAGGCGCGCTGCGTCTTCGGGCGGCTGGCGTCTGCGCTTGCGCTTTCCCCGCGCGGGTAGCGCGTGGTTTTTCTTCTGGTTGCGTTCTCTGGGAGGTCCACGAGGAAGTTGCGAGCCTGGGAGTTTGCTCGGTTCCAACGCGCACCTCACGCCCTTGAATGAAGGGCTCACTAATCTTTCCACCGCAGGAGACCTGAGAAAACCTGAGAAAGGTCATCCGTGGACCGAAATGCACGCCCGAAGCCACCCAGAGCAGAGGCTGGCAAATGTGGGTGTGGTCGGATGTTGTGTGCTGGGTCCTGTGCGAAGGTTCTGAGGACAGTATCGCGTGGCGTTTCATCCTAAAGACACTTATTTACAGTCGGGGAAGCGGCCCCGGGGCGACGAGAGGCCCTCCCCTGGGGGCCCGCGCTCAAGCCTGCCGTGGTTTTCACTTTTGGCCAGCTAATGGAAGATACGCAGCACTTTTAGAAAGTTACTCTCAGACCTGGAGTAGCAGGATGGCCCGAGGCGCTGCGAAGTGAGGGGAGGGTCCAGAGCACAGCCCTGCCTGGGGAAGGGAGGACATCGGGGGAGCAGCGCTCAGGCCCCAGCTCGCTGCGACCCTTGCCGGTTTCTATCACAAAACACCTGGAAGGAACCAGGCTGGTGACCTGCGCTCTCCTCCCACCCACCTGCTGCGGGATCATTCATTCCGGGGCCTTCTGACTGCCATCCCTCAAGTGCATGTTTGATGAATGATTTTTTTTTAAAATACATGGAAAAGTGCCTGCACGTAAGCCCTGAATGTTAGCTTTAAAAATCGTTATCACAGCCGGGCGCGGTGGCTCACGCCTGTAATCCCAGCACTTTGGGAGGCCGAGGTGGGCGGATCACGAGGTCAGGAGATCGAGAGCATCCTGGCTAACACAGTGAAACCCCAACTCTACTAAAAATACAAATAATTAGCCGGGCATGGTTGCAGACGCCTGTGGTCCCAGCTACTCGGGAGGCTGAGGCGGGAAAATCGCTTAAACCCAGGAGGCGGAGGTTGCAGTGAGCTGATATCGCGCCATTGCACTCCAGCCTGGCGACAGAGCAAGACTTGGTCTTAAAAAAAAAAAAAAAAAAATCACACAATCTGTACCGTATCTACACAGGTCTGATAGATATTGTTTTCTTTTACCAACTGTTTAACTGTTCACATCCCTCAGGAAGTTAACTAAATGATCAGTATATTGAACAGAGAGAGAATTTCTGACATTTCCTTTGAATTCCACAGCGCCTCACCAAATACACAATACTTCTTGTTTGGTAGCTGAATTCTCTATTGACATAATGCCATTTTAATTCAGTTCTGGGCAAGTAACGCATTCCTCTCTGTTAAATCTGAAATCCATTTCAGTATATAAATCAATGGAATGTCATCCCATCAAAAAAGTAATTTAGGTGAGCAGCTTAACTGAAACACTGGAAACACCGATGCAGTTCATTTGGGAATTTATTTTTTCTAAAGCTGAACAAAACCCAATTATGAATTACAAACATTTACAAGGCAACTCAACCTATAGTGCAAACACCAGATTCCACAGAACTGAATTCCTGTCGGTAATCCAATAATTAGTAGTAGCTGCTGCTTTTGTGGTTATTGGCTGAAACAAAATTAAGTAATGATTCCAAATTTGAAGATAAAGTTTCAGTGTGAATTTTAGTAAAAGAGTCATAAAAATACCTGAGATGTATTAGAATATAAGATTTTCCCTCATATTAAAAAAACTGCAGACTTTTATTTGAAACTCATCTTTAGAAAATCACAAATCATAGCACTAACATTTCATAATCATTTCCTAGTGTTTTGTTTCCCTTTTTCAATAAATAATATTTCCCCATTTAAGTTTCTCAAGGGATTGATTGCTGGAAAATTTCCCACATGTGCCCTCTGACTGTCACCCGTGGACATTAGTGAATTAAACTTTGTACATGTCAGCTACACATTCACTGTCTCCTTCCTCAGCTTAGTCCATGAGTGGACCCATCCATGGCTCCAAAGTCTTAGAAGTACTAACATGTTAAGAAAAATACATTTTTAAGGGTCAAAACAAAGTTACACAGAAGCAAATACCAGGGAAGGACTTCAAAAGTCCTCCTCAGCAGTGAGTGCCCGTGACTTCTTGAGATTCTTCAGTTTATCAATGGCAGAAGTTACTAAAATCTCTCCATGAATTCTGTTGTCTCTTGTTCGCACGTTTACAGCATTATTTATCTTTTCCTTTTCTCCAACCACTGCAAAAAGGAAAGGTAAAGAAATGTATTTTAAATCAGTTCACCAAGCATTAAGTCAGCAGTCACATGAAATGTTTTTAACGAGTTGTTCTTCATTATTAATACATATCATCTAATGAGCATTAGGTTCATCCTCTGGTAAGTTTCTTGAGGGAAGGAATGACTTCTGATCCCATCTCTCTATTGTCCACTTGAGAGAACAGCTCTTGTGGTCCTAGGGTGCAAATGAGAGTGGGGAGCTCTTACAGACTCACTCACTCCACCTGGCATACCTGATGAGCCAACGGGTGGACACCAGACCCATGCAACCCCACCAGAATTTTCTGGAATGTGGGTAAAAAGTTTGCTTTCTCTAGTGACCCATATTGTGAGATGATGCAGGAATATACAGCCATTGCTTCTTGCCATACAGAAGGAAGAAACCGGTCTGCAGTAAGTGGAATAAGGTAGATATTTAAGAGAAGCATAAAGAACCAGAGCGAGACAGGAGCCAGAAATGGGAGAAACAGTCCTGGTGAGGGCTGAGCTCTGATTGCTCTTCTAGAGGTTTGGTATTTAACTCTACCTTTCAAGTCATAGGAAACTCCAAGACCCTTCCATTAAAATGCTATCTTTGTCTAAACTAAGTTCAGATTTCTGCCACCATAAGAAGCCTGATTGAAACACCACAATACCTACTATGACGTCAAACATGATCAGTGAAACACTGTCAATAGAGCAACTCTATGCATATTTATTTTGCCTTCTATAGACTCTCAACTTACAGGAAATAGCAATACTATGCCTGCAGTTATGTCAATGTTAGTTTCTCTTAATTTTGGAATCATTTTTAAAGCCTAAATTTTAGATTCTGCATCTAATTAGTCATGTGCTAAAAGGACATTTTATTTTTCGCCTTAATCTTTTCCTTTGGATCATTTTAAATTTGGAATCTTTTCTTTTGTTAGTTTAATCCCAAAGATTTCTCATAAGCCAGAAAAGTGAGGGAAAATATTTCAGGCCTATGAGGCTGAAATATAAAGAATATAATTCTACTGATGGGATCATTTTCACAGTTCTTTTCATTGTTGGCAGGCAATACTAACTATTGCTAGTAAAACTATCCCAGGGGATTCAGGTAAAACTTCATAACTCTTCTTGCGGCAAACAACAAAGAGCACCTAGGAACAGCTAAGCCAGGAACACTATGGACTCTTCTTTTTGTGTAAGTATTAAATAGACAAATCATGATAATCAACTAGTTGAACCATATTTCTTATTTGGTCTTTTGGAACTGAAGTGAAAAAAAAAAAAAAAAAAAAAACAAGCATTTGGAAAAATATATGCAAACTTAAATTACCCAAAATAAAATTGTACTGAGCCAGCTGTGCATTTCGTATTTTCTTATTTAGTGTACAACTATGATCTAAGTCAACGTCGGCCATAAATCCTTCTTCAAAAAATTCACTGGATACCTAGAAGAAAATGAAACACCTTTATTGTTGCATTATGGTACCTAGTCTCCAAGAAGAGCCCCAATGTTCCCCACTCTTGGTATTCATACCCTTTTAGAGTTCCCTGCTCACTATACCAGAGCAGGTCCATGTGACCATAAGTAAGTGCAGAAGTCTTGGTGTATCATTTCTGAAACTAGTTCATAAAAGACTGCAGCTCCCATCTCTCTCTGATCACTAACTTTGGGGGACCAACCGCCATTTGAGGTCATTCAGGCAACCGATGAAGAAGCCCAGGTGATGAGGAGCTGTGTCCACCAACTGTGAGTGAGCCCTGAGGCCTACAGCCCTGGCCCACAGCGAGACTGCAGCCTCAGGAGATGCTCTGCACCACAATCCACCAACTGAGCTGCTCCCAGACCCTGACTCATAGGAACTGTGAGATAATAAATGTTTGTTGTTTAAAGCTGCTAAGTTTTGGGGTCACTTGTGACACAGCAACAGATAATCTTCTTCCCTAATAGAGCCATGTAGAAATGAATAATTATGAGATGTTTTAAAATACTAATTTTCCAAAAACATTAAGAAATAAAATAGTTCTGCTACAGCCAGAGACATGATACATTAAGAAATAAAATACTTCTGATATAGCTACAGAGACATGATACATGTGTTACTCCCAACTACTGAAAACACGGATTGTTAACGTGTCAGTTCTGCAATATTTTAAAACATGAAGGACATTCCAAATCAATGACCTACACAGAATACATGCAAGATTATTATGTACTTTAAATGACTCTGATTTTACCTGAAGTGCATACTTTTCACAAGTTGGCCCCACAGGGATGACCATTACCTGACGAGGAGATAGCCAGAAAGGCCTGAAAAATACATAAAATACGTCTTTTCAAAGACTAATAATGGCTACTTATTAAATGATTTCAAATAACCAAAGATTCTTTTAAAGACTTTACAAGAGGGCAGTTTCAGGAGAGTGGCATGGAAGAAAACCAAATTATATTAAAGTTTGAAGGCCGCAAAGTAAACAAAAGAAGAATTTTGGAATTTCGATAGCACAAGCGTGGGGAGAATCACACCCTTGTAGAGTTCCCTGCTCACTATACCAGAGCGGGTCTATGTGACCATAAATTAGTGCAGAAGTGTTGGCGCATCATTTCTGAGACTAGTTCATAAAAGACTGCAGCTCCCATCTCTGCAAA